AGGAGGAGAAGAGGAGGAGGAGAAAAATAAGAGGAAGGAGGAGGAGGAGGAGGAGGAGGGGAAGGAGAAAAGGAGAAGAAAGGGAAAAATAAGGGAGGAGGAGGAGGAGGAGGAGGAGAGGAAGAAGAAGAGGATAAGGAGGAGGAGGAGGAGGAGGGGGCCGCTTGCCGCCAGGGGTTGCCACACAAGGTTGCCACGCAACATTCGCCCCCATCCGCCACGGCTGCTGCTTCCCTGCGGGATTTCTGCCGCCCCTGGAATGCGACGGGCCAACTTGACATCCAGACAGAGGCTCGCTTGTTCTCTTCGGGACGTTTCCAACCCCCCCACCACCCCCACACACACTCCCTCCCCCCATATGCTTTTTTTGGGGGGGGGCTTTCAATGGGGCTGAGAAGGGAACTGCGCACCCCACGACTGGGAAAATTGGCTTTCCCAACCTTGGCTGAGAAATCCGACTGAGGTAAAGTCGATTAAAAGTGCCGGTAAACCGGATTTTCAAAAAAAGAAGGAAAAAAAAAAAGGGAGAATCCCCGCGACCTAGAGACACAGCGACCGTCGTAAGTATGAAGCAGCTGACCAGCGTTCTGAATTTTGATCACATGACCGTGGGGAAGGCCACAGAGGTCGTAAGTGTGGAAAAATGGGTCGTAAGTCACTTTTTTCCCAGTGCCATTGTAACTTTGAACAGACACTCAGCAAACGACCTAGTCCTCGACTTACGACAGTTTATTTAGCGACCATTCACAATAGAACGGCACTGAAATGTGGGACTTAACGACCGTTTTTCACACTTACCTCCCTGGGATCGTGTGCTCAAAATGCTTGATCTCGTACTTATGACGGTCGTAGTGTTCCGGGATCCCCTTTTGCAGCCTTCTCACAAGCCAAATCAAAGGGGGTTGTGGTGGAAGCCAGATTCACTTAACAACTGTGTGACTCACTTAACAACTGCAGGGATTCGCTTAACGATGGTGGCCAGAAAGTCCATCAAATGGCTCAAAACTCAAAACTGTCTCACTTAGCGAGAGACTTTTGCGCTCACTTATGGACGGAAGTCAAGGACTAACTGTAGTTTAATTCAGTAGGGAGTTTTGGGGTTGGTAATATATATATATATTTAATGAGATATATCTTTTTTTTAAACAATGAGATAGATCACAGAATATATCTGGGTGAAAAGGTGGATAAATGGAATTCTAACTCTGCTTTTTCTTAGTTTTTTGTAATTATTCCAAGCTGAGGGCTGTCCCAGTCTTAAACTGGTTTGCATCTCTGCAGAAAATACATAGACACTTCTGCTTTTATCTCTTTTCCTGTCCACGTTATATGTATTTTGGCACGCTGGTTTGTTTTTTTCTTCTTTCCTCTAGTGGATTCTGCTAGGCAGTATTGTTTTCCACTTATTTGACTCGGCTAATTGTGATTAATAGATTAAAAAGTAACACAAACACACATCACTTGATGGATGAACTTGCTCTGTGTAACTTAGTTGGAGATAATTGGGTTGTGTGCATCAGAAGAAATCCATCCGATAGGCACAAGCACAAGTTAAAAAGAGAATATTTGGGGGGAAACAGGTACAAGAAAACTTAGGAATTCTTGTGTGGAGTATTCCCCAAAATAAGTGCAAAAGGACCAGCTTGGGTTTTGAAAATGAAAATGAAAAGTTAGAGAAATTTCAGAAAAGAGGGGAAATAATTAAAAAACAACAACCCAGCTACAGGTAGATCTTTCTTCCTGAATGTCCAGCATTTGGAAAAGGTTGAAAAAAAAGAAAAGAAATAAAAATAAAAATGGAAGAAACCCCTGTCTGAACGAACTGTGAGGTTTTCCTGACATACATTTCGACCAACCGTGATTGGACCGTGTTCGAAACTGCTAACAAACGTCAGATTTCATTGCAGGCATCAACCACAGCAGGGAAAAATGAATTTCTTTCCTCAGCAACACGAAATGTAATTATTTCTTTTTAGCCACTAAAAAGATCCTCACACACCGGAGCGTTGACAGCTGAACTAGCTGCGAGAAACAACTTAGCAGAGTTATACTCTAAGTCTGGATAGGGATTTTCCAAATCACTGGGTCAGCTGGTCACTACTTCATGGTACCTGTTAAGACACACAACTGCAGCTAGGATAGGTTTGGTCAAGGGTATTGCTGAGTTTTGTGGGCACAGCTAGAAAACCGGCACATTTTTTAAAAAGGTATACCTGATTATACAGAAGTACCTGTGTTTTATTGGGCAGGCCCAAAGATGAATTTCCTAAAAGGCAACTGGACTTTCTTGTTGTTCTTTTCCTTGAAGAGGTTTCGCTTCTCATCTAAGAAGCTTCTTCGGTTTCTGACTTCAGTTCGAACGTCGTCAGTTCGAACCGAAGAAGCTTCTTGGGTGAGAAGCAAAACCTTTTCAAAGATCTACCCAATCTTTATGTCTATGGAGATTCTCTGTTGTCCAGCTCATGTACTTTTTTTTCCCCCAAGAGGCAACTGGACTTTCTGGGTTTTTTTCTCTGAAGAGGTTTCACTTCTCATCCCAGAAGCTTATTCAGTTCTTCGGTCCGAACTTCTTCAGTTAGAACTGAAGAAGCTTCTGGGATGAGAAGTGAAACCTTTTCAAGGAAAAAAAACAATCAAGAAAATCCAGTTGTCTTTTGGAAATACACCTTTGGGACAATGTTGACCTGGATGTTGGGGAATCTCCATAGACAGAAGATTGGGTAGATCAGTTCAAACACCAGAGAAACTGGGCACTGTTGGTTTTTCCTTCTGTAAGGACAAGTCAACCATCTCATCTGGAAGGGAACCTTAGTTCTAGAGAGGTTTGCACACACCTGAGGCTCCAGGGCTACTCACCTTACCACAAACGTCGTTGACCGCTACGTGAACGAAGACGGAAGCTTCCTCCATACCTTCTAGGTAGACATGTCGATAGCCTGGAAGCAAGGAAAGTGGGGTGAATGATGGCTTCTCATCTCCTTTAGCCCCAATCTCCTTCCAGGGGTCTGCTGATCTCCCCCCACCCACCCAATTTCTGGTTGGAGAGGAATTCTGACTGTCGGGAGAAGAAAGAGGAAGGAGAGTAGATGAAAGTTAAGAATCTATAGCAGTAGGGAGATGTCAAAAAAAAAATATATGTGGCCAATGAACAGCAAGAGAAGGAAGAGAAAAGAAGAAGCATAGAACAGACAAACATATCTCTGGGTTAAGGATAAATTATCCATTATTAAAAAACAGTTGTACATATCTAGTGCAATAATAATTACAATTAGAGTTATAATGAATTCAAATTTCTTACTATAATATTATAAAAATTATATAAAAAGTAATATAAAAATTAAATAAGACAGGGTTTTATTTTTTGGGAAAACATGGTACCTACCTGAACGGGCCAGAATTCTTCAGAGCCAGAATATCAGAGAGGAAATGCAGGGAAAAACAAGCAACGTTGCACAAACAGGTCCGTCTTACCTGGCATCATGGATGTGAATGCGATTGTCCTCTGACCGATAAAATCCCTCCCGATGGGATCGTGGTCCCAGACCAGGAAGCGCACCAGGGCAATCTCTGGCATGCCGATGTTGAAAACCAGGGTTTCCTCCCACATCGGATTGAAACCTGCAGGACCAAGAGGCAGGAGAATGGGCCTTCCTAGGTGTGACCTACTGACCGGTGTTTGGCGATGGGTGGACTTCCCCCAGCCAGCCACCGATAGATGTGTGCAGACTTCAACTCCCAGAATCCCCCAGCCAGCCATGCATAGGTATAGATTCCAGAAAGAAGAGGGGAATGACTTACTCTTCAAAGCACCAGAAGGCATACAGCCATTTGTGAGCTGCCGGCAAACTTAACTCACTGAGCATCCGCGTCTTCACAGCTGCTTTTTGGGCGGTTTGAGGCCTTTTTCGGCCTCCCAGAGGCTTGAGGAAGGCTTCTGCAGGCCAAAAACTAGCCCCGTTTCGTCACTTCCTGTTTTTCCGAAAATACCGGAAGTGACGAAACGGGACTAGTTTTCGGCCTGCAAAGCCTGCAGAAGCCTTCCTCAAGCCTCTGGAAAGCCGAAAAAGGATTCAAGCTGGCCAAAAATCAGCTTTATGTTTTATGTTTTTTGGAGTAAAATAAAAATAGGAAGTGGGAAAAAAAACATTAGAAGGAACTTCCAGAAAGAAAGAAACAAACAAAAAGAAACAGAAAATAAAGACACTGCAGGGAGAAAAGTGCATTTTTAATGTCTTGTTTGTTTTGTTTCTTTTTGTTTGTTTGTTTCTGTTTAAAAAAAAAGAGTTCGGAGTTATGTATTTTTGAGAATAAAATATCAAGTGAAAAAAAAAAGAAAAGAAAAAAGGAGGAACTTTCTTGAGGCCACCAGCTGCTCCAACATGGAAGCAAAGTTGCTTCGAGGTTGTCAGGTGCCCAACAATTCCTCCAACAGATGCTAAGCAGCCAACCGTCAACCGTTCTGCACGGATAAGCGACTGGATGAAATGAATGTGGGGTGGTTGCCATCCATCCTAGGGATTCTAACTGCAAAATTGTCCTCGGCCTTATAGAGATGGCAGGAAAGAGAGAGTGAAAAACGGAGGATTGAGAAGCCATACCATTGTCGTCCACAACTCTGGTTTGCTCTTTGCAACAATCCATGGGCAATCCGATCACCTCGACTTCCACAAACGGATCTATGATCTGGAAAAGAGGCGAAAATAAA